ATTGTGGCGTTTGTTACAATGTTGATCACTATTAATCATTGTAGCAATGTGGCAATGAAGCAGGTCCGAGGCCCGATGCTAGCCTGCCTCTGCCCCTGCCGAGATAGAAGTCGAAACCTAAGGACTCAATCATATGGATATGAAAAATGCAAGATTTATGATCCTAGCGGGAAAAGAGGGAAACATAAAAAGCGTCTTGCTCATCTGATTGGCTGGACTCTCGCATCGGCCACATAGAGGATTGACCATCACAGACTCAATCCAACTACGTGGAAACATCACAGGAGGAGACCTTATCGACGTATGTGAAGTTCCTCTATCACCTGTCCCTGCCTCCCCACGACGTTTTTCTTAGCTCAATATTACACCATGTTCCAAACATCCATCTCTTCTTCATCAGTCTTTGTTTTTCATTTGAAAATGGATCCACATATATTATAAAGGTTCACAAAAATTACATAGCACCACAAACATAATAAAATTACATCGAGGACCTTGCACCCCCGATGGCCACTGCCACTGCTAGAATGAGTCGCTAACACACCACTTTCGTTGCTCCCCTATCGGAATCAACTTGACGTTGTCGATGACAGTTGTGTAAGTCTTTGTGCACGTGCTCCTAAAGGTAAACGCCCTAGAGCTGCACTCGTCTCCATTGGTCCCTTGAGTCCATCTGAAGCGTCTGCCACTAAATCTCGCTAGCACGAATGCACGACAAGAAACCCTAATTCAGCTCCCTAAAGAGAAGGCAATAATCTATACTAGAGCTCTGTCGACTCCATCTCGATGGACGAATTCGAGGAGGATGGAAGCCCAGAATACTATCTCGAAGATGAAGCGGCGCCATTCAATGGAACATCGCCTACTATAAAAAAACGCCGAAGCTAAACTACTGGCTAAAGCCGAGAGAACAGGATCCCCCTAGCCGCCACGGGCGCTTGAGTGGTTAAGTTGCATGCAGGTGGATCCATAGGCTCACCGGCGAAGCTTGGAAAAGATAAGCGCCTTAGTAGCCATAGACACGAGAGGCAAAGAGAAATCCTAACAACCACCGTTTCCTGTTGCAGACGAGTTAGACACAGGAGGCGATTAACGAACCAATCCTCTTCTTTATTAGTCACTCCACTAGAGCACGACATTTACTTCCTGAACTTCCCTTCTTCCTCGTCTTGAACTCTTCTACCTGCGCGGTATGAGTCCAAGCAACCACGGTGCCCACCAAGCTCATTAAATATGATCAATTGGGTTGTTTGCAACGGATGTGTCCATGTCAATCTAGGTCAGGCAAAAATGATGATGCCGAAAGGTTAATGATTTGGGCAATGCCTTACAATTTACTGCATACATTGATTTTCCATATCACATTTTTTTAAAAAATTACATATATTGCAAGTGTTTTGCCACAAAAAATTACACAACCTTGAAAACAAATTTACAGCAATATTGCACCAAATGCGTTGCATCGGGGCTTTTCTATTGGTGCGGCGTGAGTACCCAGACCAGATGCCCGGCGAGGAGGGCCCCGCCAACCGAGCGGACCCCGGCGCGAGTACACGTGTCAAAGCCGCAGAGTTTCATCGGAAGCGAAAAGAAAAAAAGAGACAAAAGTGTAGCCGTAGCAACCGTGATCCGCCTCCGCCTCCCAAACGCCATTCTCAAACCGCCACCGCCACCGCTCCCCGCCGGCGAGCCCTCCCCCGCGAGCCCTGCCCCCGCCGAAGCACGGACGCCCCGCCACCTCGAAGGTAGGTATTCCCCTCCCGCCCCCGTCCCTCCTCGTCTGCTCTGCCGGGCAGCCAAGGGGTGGCGATCCTTCTCTCTCTCTGCGGGCCTCGATTGACCGCCCCTGTCGGCGACGAACCCTAGGTCGATTGAGCCGTGCCGGGGATTCTGTTCTGGAATTTCCCTCGCCGCGATCCAAATCCCCGCCCCGTGGGGTGCTGGTGGCAGGCTGTTATTCATTTTGCGGCTAGATCCTCCCCTGTTATGAAACTGATAGCCATCGAAGCATTTGTTCGCCGAAATTCGTGGCGTGATTATGTGGGGCGTGAGCGGATCAAATGCCACCCCTCGCAGGCGAATGGAGCCGAATGGCCAGGGCATTACTAGGGCTGGTGACAACGAGCCAAGTATATTGCCTCAGTTTGTAATGGGGAAATGGGGAAACTGGTTCGAACATTGCGGTAGCAGTGCTAGAAGGCTCTTGAATTAGACGATATGAGGGGCGAGGGCGGGCTATCCATTTCCACCAAAGTAACATATTTGTAATGGACTAATGGTATCACAATGGTTTCCATTGTTTCAATATAGCTGTAAATAGGTGAGCAGCCCCTTAATATTGCGGAATAGGTTGCAGCCTTTCTTCTCCTTCACTCATGATGCCCATGCTTGTTTTAATGCCGGGTGCAGAAGGATCCCCTGTATCAATACAACATCCAATTCATAATAGCATCTTATTAACAGATCACTCCTATTATTACTGGCAAGATGGTTATTTATGACTGTGCTTGGCATTTGTTGAGTTGGCTGTGGGTAGGGCTAGGGGTTGCGCTTGGGCTATGGTTTGATTTTGTGGGCAGGACTCGGGTGGGGCTTGCATTTCGGCCATACCTTGCTGCCAGTTAAATGTTCATATACTCTTGTGGTATTTCTGTACATTCCAAGAAAAGGAAACATTAGTCCCATGCTACATTTTCTATTTATATCTTGTAAGAGTTAGCCTGCCACAAAACTCACTCATATGCATATTTTTCTGTTTCAGGGTTAATAAACTAGCACCACCAGCTTAGTAGGGCCTGATAGCAGCTCAATCAGTGGATGTGAATATTCTGCATCCCATTTAAGTTCTGCTTGAGATGGCAGTTGGGATGACATCCCACCTCTTCCAGGGAGGGGCTACTACCAGCAGATTTAGCCAAATCAACAAATTTAGAGTACAACTTGCTCATTCTTTACTTGGTAGTCAATAGTTTCTTTATTTTCTGTTTCATCAGTGTTTGCTCTCCTCCCCCTCCCCCCTACAGAGCCCAGAGAAGCGTTGTTCTCTCTCCTTGCCATCCACTTCGCTTCCTTTTCTTGCTTATGTATGGTTCCTTCCTTTCAGTCTTGCTAAGCTAACAACGTATTCTAATTATTATAGTATAGTTTATAGAATGGGTGTTGTGATGCTTTTGTCTTACATCACTGGAAGACGTTTAACTGACGGTGTGTTGTTTATTTTGGATATGTGAAGTATCCTTCTATCTCTGTGCCTAGTGTAAGCTAGTACTTGTTAATTTAGCAGAAGCAAACATATGTTTGAAGCTGTACAAATGTATGTCAGACAGAATTAGCCATCCCTGTCTTTTTTTTTTCCCACATAGACACACCAGACAAGGTTAGGTACAACTCCAAATACCTCAAGGGTATTTATTTTGCTGCATGTTCTCAGCACAAATAATGCAGAACTGAATCACATTTAAAATTAATATATTCTGTTCGAGTTGTCTTTGGGCAACATTTTTTTTTGAGGAATGTCTTTGGGCAACATCATACACATGGTTCCATAGACCGTAGATCCTCTATGGAAATGGCCCACAAAAATTATGCCACTCCATTTGAATGGAACTATGCTTTTGGACACTGAAAGTTCAGCAACATGTATTTTAACCAGTAGGTCTTTACCATGTTTTATCATATCTGCTGATAATTTGAGAAATGAGATCTAACTGTTGAACTACCGACAACGGGCAAGTATGCGCCAATGAAGACATCGGTTGCGTTGGTTGATTACCTGATGATGTTCTTCTAATACATCGTACTCCATTGGTATTTAAACATCATTTCAGGGGGATATGGAGTAATTTTTTTTCCAAAATTTGCATTACCAACAGTTTTACTGAAGCGGGCGTATCTTTTGGGTACAAAACATATGTACCACTATATCTGAAACAGTACTCTGCTTGACTGCATGAAAGTGATGCTTACTATACACACAGTGTCACACTTCCATAATGTTTGTTGTGAACCTTTCACAATGGCATAGCCTGGGTGTAGGATAACGCACACCGTGGATAGGGCATTCACCCTCATCAACCTGTCGACTCGACTTTTATCCCATAAGAGTCAAACTATTTCGAGTGTGCTGTCTGCTTATCCCTATCTTGAAATTCCTTACTAAACAAATCTCTTTCCTAATTTGATGATTGCCATTTGTTCGAACTTCTAGATAATCGATCAGTAATACATGGTAGATCATTTCAATCATGCAACCTCCTTTTGTTGCTCTATCATAATAAACTTTTTTTATATATATTTTGTGCCGGTACTGTATGCCTTAAGCAATATCCCCTAGTATTGTAAATCTTCAGAATATCCCTTGCAGGGGCAGGATTTATTGGTTCAGAACGTGTTGGGTAGGAGCTACAGGCCCATGCTTTATGTGCCTTGTAGATATAGGGCCTCGGGTGCTAAATCTTTTGCTTTGCCAGTGTCTTGGAAGGAAATTCCGCTGGTCAAGAGCACGTCGTCAGCATTGGCTAGGTAGCCCCCCTGTGGCATCATGTACTTATGAAGTTTGTTGAATTCTTAGATAGTTCGCATTGATGACTACACATACTGCCAGCAGCACCAATCTGGACCTTTCAGTTTTTGTAAACCAGAATATCTAACATCTTATCTACACTATATACTGCTGGTGGGTATTATGGTACTGAAGTATCTTAGTAACACTATGCCAATCAGATGATTTGTTCAGTGGTTGCTCACTAGCTACTCTTATTGCACTTGCTAAGCCTTTCAGTAACTTCTTCAACTCAGTATTACAGGTTACTGATTTGCTGCCTTTCGATATGGCAGCATCGATATGGCGGGACATAAATTTTTTTTATGAATTAAGCTGCATACATGTTAGCCAAGATAGTTTGGTTAGTAATCTTAAATGGAACTTACCTTTATGATTGATGACGGTAGTCACCAACTGGATAAATTCTGTAGCCAATTCAATGGACTCTTATTAGGTTATTGCTATACCATCTTATATGCAAATGCTAATCAATTTATGCTCGACTTCCTATTTTAATAGCCCTTTTCCCCCCTTGACAGGTCGTGTGACAGTTTACTTGCAAATCCTGTCACTGCCCTTGTGACACCTGCAGTTGGAATAATTGTCTTTGCCCTATGGGGCTTTTTGCCTCTAGTGAAGGACATTAGAAACCGTATTGATGTATGCTTCCGTTATATGCGACCATATTTATATTTTACTTAATTATGACGAGCTAAAAATAACTGAACATTCTGTAATACCTTGCAGCACGGAGGAAACTGGAAACAGAGCCCCACATACCTAATTTCTAGGTCGTACCTTCAACCTTTGCTTCTTTGGACAGGAGCAACGCTAATCTGCAGGTATAACCACAACAGTGTTTAGTGATGTTCTCTTGCAGTGTACTCCTATCTGATCGATATTGCAGCCTCAGAATTTTTAGCTGATCGATGTTGCAGCCTCAGAATTTTTAGCTGTGTATCAGTTGCAGATTTTCCTTTTTATTTCTGTTCTTTGCTCACACACGGCCTTACAGGGGTTTGGATCCAGTTGTGCTACGTTCATCAGCAAGCCAAGCTGTTAAAACGCGTCTTGTAACTTTTGTGAGATCTTTATCTACCGTCCTGGCTATTGCATATGTTCTTACAAGGTGCACATGATACATTCTCAAGCTTGCTGATTGTTTGATAGTTAGTTTAATGAATCAGCATTTCACTAGAGTTAAATGAAAAACCCTGGGAAGTACTAACATGGTTTATCTTCTTTTAGCTTGATTCAGCAGGTACATAAATTCCTAGTGGACGTACGTAACCCCAATGACACAAAAAAAGTAAGATCATTTTTCTTATAATATAGCTAGAACCTCTTTACATTATTCGAGTACCTGCTATAGTTCTATCAACTTGATTTCGATCTTACTGATATAAGCCATTTTTTAAGGAACGTGTAGGAAATACATTTTATTTTTCATGAACAAGCAATAGGTACCCCAACTAGGGGGTGCAAACGGACAACCTTTAGCCTTTAGGGAATCCACTGATGTTCGGTCAGCTTGGTGCATGTAAGCAAGCATGCATGACCTGAGCGCAGGTATGCAACTTGATTAGGTACTCTGTACACTAGAATTATGCATACACAAGCACACACTCATCCCGATGACTGTATATGCAGCACACATGCATCTTATATGCATGTATGCATCCCTTCTCTCAGTTTTCATGTCTCATCAAAATCTTTTATTAGGTATACCATACATAAATGACTAAACAGGTGGGCCGGAGATTATGTGGTAGTTTGCTCAAAGAAGCTGTGTTATGATCGTGAAATAGTGTAGAATTTATTATTTCAAGGTTTTCCATGGTCTCTTTATTCCAAGCATATATTTCTTGTGAAATAAATCTGATGGCAACAGCATGTACTTGTTAGCTTGAATTGAACTCTGTTAATGTGATTGGAATTTAAACTTCTCAGTTGTACAATCAAGATATCCTCTATTTTTATTTTGCTTCTTATAACTTTGTTTTCCCCCTTAATTTTCTCCGTGTTGTAGTAGCACTTATCGAACTTTGTTTCTTGCAGATGGGTTTGGATTTTACCGTGAAAGCAATCTATACTGGCATTTGGATTGCTGCTGTTTCTCTCTTTATGGAGTTGCTGGGTGTCAATACCAAGAAGTGGATAACTGCTGGAGGTTTTGGGACAGTATTGCTTACGCTTGCTGGTCGTGAGGTACTACAGAACTTTTGTATTGATAGTTTCTTGTGCGATAGCGCTAAAATAGGGCTAATAGCTATCCCAATTCGTTGCAGATTTTGACTAACTTCATCTCGAGTGTTATGATCAACGCCTCACGCCCATTTATTGTGAATGAATGGATCACTGCAAACATAGATGGTGTTGAGATCACTGGTGTTGTTGAGGTCGATGTCTTCTTGAACTATTTCTCATTTACTGTGGATATGCTGTTCTGTTTGTTTCATTTTATATGCGTATTTAAACAATAGTCATCTGAGTATGTAGTTATTCCTTCCACGATACATGGTTTTGTTTTTATGTACTGATAGTCTGATACTAGTTGCACGCTCATACCAAATTTTGTTGATGCTTCATCTTGTCATCACACTAACTTCAACTAATTTGATTTTCAGCGTGTTGGTATGTGGTCTCCAACAGTTCTTAGAGGTGACGACAAAGAAGCTATATACATTCCTAACCATAAGTTCACAGTGTCCATAGTGAGAAATAACAGTCGAAGGAGCCACTGGCGTATTAAGAGCTATCTTGCGATAAGCCACATGGATGCTGGAAAAATTAGTGTAACAGCTTTGAATCAGTCTCGCACATTACACCTCTCTCTTCTACTTCTTTCATTATATGGTAACCTAACTGTAACCGGTCTATCTGTTTTCCTTTGGCAGATAATTGTTGCGGACATGAGGAAAGTCTTGGCTAAAAATCAGAATATAGAACAACAGAGGCTACACAGAAGAGTATTTTTTGAGAAAATTGATGAAACGACCCAAGCTCTCATGGTACTTTATTTATTATAAGTAATTCGGTTTTTAAAATGTAAATGCTAGTGCATGATCACCCGTTTTGAAACATTGTATCATGAGTGTGGGACACCTTGGTTGGCCACTGGCCAGAGCGTCCTTGTTGTTTACCTTGTTTAAAATATGCTCAGTAGGTGTCTCCCTACTACTCCCACCGTATCAAAATATAAGACGTTCTTGTAGGCTAGTTTAACCTACAAAAATTTCTTATATTTTGGTAGAGGTAGTATTACTAAAGCTAGAAACTGATCAAAACCCTGTGATAATAGGCTATTATTCAATTTCATTCAGCTCTCCTCAAAATTTGCAGCTATAGTTTTAGTGCAAAATCTAGAACAGACCGATCAATTTTACACCGGCAACACTTCAGCATGAAAATCATTAAACTCCTAACATGTAAGTTGTCCAGTTTTATGGAAGATGGATGTAGGTAGTAAAAAAAATGTATGTTAGTGGGTAGTTGTTTCTTTTCCTTTCTATTTTCACATCTACTTTCTTGCATTTGCGTTTAACTGGTGTCAAGCTTTTTCATTTCATGCCCATGCATCTATTTTTTTAATTCTTTGAAATATTACACATTCTTCTATTCTATTACTTCCAATTTTACATTAGTCCTGAACTCCTAAATATCTAAGGTTGGTATCATTTTGTTGTGTTTGTCCTGTAGATTTACGTATCCTGCTTTGTGAAGACTTCACATCTTGAGGAGTATCTGAATGTCCAGGTAACATATCTGTATAGTATGCTATATATTCTGCTCGCAATAGATAACGGGCACATATTTTGTTTGGCATATGCATGTTTTGTGCTAAAATGTACAAGTTCTGTCAAGAACATTATTTTCTAGCTCGGTAGTGTTCGTAAAAATAGAATCAGCTGTACAAAACATTCTGATCCATTGAGTCTGATTCTCACCAGTTGGCGAGAACTGGATTTTGACCAGTTACTTATGGAAACCAGTGATAAACGACATGGAATCATTTTTCCTAATCATGAAACAAAAATACATATAACTGCCTTGAAACACCAATCAGGATGACAAGTTGATAATGAGCGGAGTATAAAAACTGCAGCTGGCTCTACTTTTTCCGATGTACACTAAAATTCATAGCATCAACTAGTGTCGTGAGCCATGTGCTACTAAAAAATCTAAACAAATATCACATAGAAGTGATATGGTGCGTAATTATTATTTTTGAACTGGATATGTGCGTAAACTTGGTAAAAATGGGATAAAAATCATGGAGACATGCAGCATGATTATTGCACATAATATTGCGAGCCAATCGCCAAACCTTGCTGATCTGTTTGGTTCTGGTCCTCCCTGTAAAGTTTGGTTGCTATGGGGACGTTGCAGTTGTTCACCTGTCATCCTGCTTTGTGAAGACTTCAACCCTGAGCCTTAAATTTGAAACACCCACATGATATTTGCATGAATCTATGCATAGCATCAGTGATTACTCCAAATGAGTTCTGAACCCCTCATCTGTTCACTATGTGGTACTACTTCATTTATCATTTCCTCTCTGATATTAATAGGGAAGACTACATAGGAGTTCTTTCATTTTGTTTGTAGATGGAGTTTGACAGGAGAAGCATAGAAGCCATTTTTGCACCATGTGTGTTTATTTTATCAGCATTTACTCCCTCCGTTCCAATACAAAGTTGAGTCATCTATTTTGGAACGGAGGGAGTAGATATCACTTGGAACACTTATAAAATGTTTTTGATGTTCCAATACACAACAGGAGGAAGTTTTGTTGGACTTTCTTAGAATAATTGGCCATCACAGGGCAAGGCTTGCCACCCAAACTCGAACGGTCCAGAAATCGTATGGCAACGCAGACATAGATAACATTCCTTTTGGAGAGGAGATGTACTCTCGTGTACGTGGCCGTCCACTTCTGATTGACACCTCTGCAAAGGTCAGTGAAGGCAAGCCTAAATCTAGATCAACCTCACGTGAAGATCAGAGAGTCAAGACAAGCGCATCGGCTGAGACCAGGGTAGGTTCACCAGATAGTGCTAGTGTAAGCAACTCAGACAAGAAGGAACAGAAAAAGATGGTGTCAGAAGATGGTCCAACGAAGAATAGCAAGAATGATCATGGGATGTCAACACAAGCATCTCTGGCTGGTAAAGGGGAGTCTCGAGGATCCGAGGCCACAGAGCGACAAGGAGATGGGTCAGTTTCTCTTCCTAATCCTAAGAAAGAATCTAGACCTGGCCTGGAAGATAACATTGTTCTGGGTGTAGCACTTAAGGGCTCCAAGAGGACACTCCCCATCGAACAAGAAACAGATCCTCATGCATCCGAAAGCGAGCAAGGCACAGTTGAGGTTGGTTCATTGCCGAAGGATAAGAAAGGTCAAAGCCATAAGCCATGAGGGGGGTCAATCAAGTCATCTAGAGAAGGCCGGCCACACGAACTTTGATTCTTGACAGGCGATACAAGCTCAAGCAGGGTCCTTGCCAGGGATTCGTCACCATGCCTACCTTTTTTGTGTGCTGGTGCAAATGCTATCTGTCGCCCCCTTTCTTTTTCCTTTTCTTTTCTTTTTTGTAAATCTTCGCTGATGCCTCCTTGTTTGGCAAGGAACCTGTTAGTTCATAAAATGTAGCCTAGTCATTGACTGTGCTCCCTGCGTATGGATATCTTGTACGTATGGTGAAGCGTATCAAACATAAATTGAGCCGACACGCGTCGGCTGTTGCATATTATCTGTGCTGCTTCATTCTGGCTTTGCGGAACAATCTTAGGCATGTTCGAAATGGTGCTTGCGCACCAGCATTGTGTTCTGAGTGCTGTAGAGTGTAGTGCAGTGCTTGGTTTTGTTTGGCATAAGTGGGTGATTGCTTGGCCGGATCATGGGGGGTGTCGATGATCGGTCATGTGCTCCATCATATCCTCGTTCCTCTGGTGAAGTTTATGCCTATGTGTCTGATTTGAGATGTAAAAATAGGGCAGGAAGGGATAAAGGATCAAGAGCAGTTATACTGAGTCTTCACGAACATGCAAGCAGATAGGGTGATGATTCATATCCTCTGGTTTCCTGTAAACTACACAGGCACCAACATGCTCATTGCCTTGGAATTAATTGCGTACCTGTGTTAACACAAGCAAAGCTTCAAGTAATTTGAACAAAAGATATTTGTTATGAGTAATATACAGAAAAGAAAATATAGCCCATGTCCATGCACTCAAAGCTTGCCCCATCTTTTCGTCGCCGAAATTGGCAGCAATCGATCTCTGGTGTTTCAAAATACACCAGATGGAGTCATCCTTTTGGGTACAGGGCACAGCTACAACATTTGGCTCTGCAAAATTCCAAGCACCGACCTTCCTCTCAAATGGGAATGGGCCGGCCGAGGAGAACACTAAGAACCCGGGAGAAGGTTACTAGGCACTGGACCAAGATTTCACACTATCGCTGTCACATAACCGGTATTCTTGGGTGATCTATCTTATCTTCCAAATTCTTTCGCCTAAATCTAGCTTCATAAAATGCCTAACCAGAAACATCAACATTATTCTTCTTAACAACTGCTACGAAAGCAACAATATGCAACGCAGTAATGAAGATAGATATATGCGGATAAAACAACTAGTAGCTACTAAAGTTTCACACTGCTGCAATGCCAAATCAATTTGCACTCGGCATTTGAATTTACAGACCATCCATTCCATGAAGGGACAATTTGCCTATATGTTGGGATTTTTCTGATTCGGCATACAGGCAAATTATATAGATGACAAGATAAAAAAAACAAACAAGAGACATGGACTACGACCTCTATAGTCTAGAGGATCCCACATATGCATAGCAGTGTCACTTCAGATCTAACTAAAGAGTGATAGAGTCTGCTGGTTCAAATCGATAACCTCAGCGATGAGCTCGTTCAAAACAGAGGGATAGGTCGCGATTATATGCTCCCAGCCATCGGTCGCCATTATTGTTTCAAACATGAGGGAGACTGGACCAGGATAAACTTAATGCACGCCTCTTTCAATCCGCGGCAGTGGTGCCGCTCAGCCATAGCAAGGGTGGACGTCACCGAGCTGACACCTATGAGCTCAGATAGCTGTTTTTCACAGATGAACTTGAGCCGTTGGAGATCATATCTGTCTGCCGCTACAAACAAGTCCTGCAGCCATTGCACGCGCGTTTCATCCTCTACTGCTTCCTCTCCTTGTCCTTGTTCCGCAGCTTCTGGCATTTTGTCTTCTGCAGCTTCCTCTCCTTGTCCTTGTTCCGCAGCTTCTGGCATTTTGTCTTCTGCAGCTTCCTCTCCTTGTCCATGCTCCACAACGTGTGACATTTTGTCCTCCTCCATGCTATCCTCGTGCATCGCAGGGAATGAGTCTGTGTAGACAAAGCTAAGCAAGGCTCTGAATATGCTTGCTTCCATGTCCTCGATCCGTATGACACTGGATGTAGTAGCAGTACTGCCCTCCTTCATGGGGTCAAAGAGCTGTGCCCTGAAGACGTTAGATCGGGCTGCAAGCACGCATCTGTGTGCAGCGATCGTCTCGCCACCGACCTCGAACGTCACATCAGCACCCACATCGGTTTGAAAGAGATCGCCGAAATGCCGGTGTATGTCGGGCAGGAGCGCCTCGCCGCCGCCGCCCTTGGTGTCGCGGACAACCATGATGTCGCACCGGATGGTGAAGCAGTCACCCCTTAGGTTCGCCGATCGTTCGAGGGTCAAGATGGCAATGGAGACGAAACCCACCGGGTTTTGCTTGCCCAAACCCATCCCCACGAGAAAATCGTAAACCCGTCATCGTCTCCGTCAACATGCGCGGGGTTAAATTTTTGCCCGTCCCTTAAACCCATCGGGTTTTCAAAACCCACGGGGAACCCGTCCCCACAAGAAGTCAATGAAAACATCAACAGTTGGAAGAAAAACAGGAGCATATTACAGCAGCAGGCGACGGCTGGGGGACCTAGGTTTAGGTTTAGGTGTCGTGTTGTGCGGGAGAGAGAGTCCTAAAGAGTGAGCAACACTGCAGTCGGCCGATACTATACAGATTTTTCATTTCATGCCCATGCATCTATTTTTTTAATTCTTTGAAATATTACACATTCTTCTATTCTATTACTTCCAATTTTACATTAGTCCTGAACTCCTAAATATCTAAGGTTGGTATCATTTTGTTGTGTTTGTCCTGTAGATTTACGTATCCTGCTTTGTGAAGACTTCACATCTTGAGGAGTATCTGAATGTCCAGGTAACATATCTGTATAGTATGCTATATATTCTGCTCGCAATAGATAACGGGCACATATTTTGTTTGGCATATGCATGTTTTGTGCTAAAATGTACAAGTTCTGTCAAGAACATTATTTTCTAGCTCGGTAGTGTTCGTAAAAATAGAATCAGCTGTACAAAACATTCTGATCCATTGAGTCTGATTCTCACCAGTTGGCGAGAACTGGATTTTGACCAGTTACTTATGGAAACCAGTGATAAACGACATGGAATCATTTTTCCTAATCATGAAACAAAAATACATATAACTGCCTTGAAACACCAATCAGGATGACAAGTTGATAATGAGCGGAGTATAAAAACTGCAGCTGGCTCTACTTTTTCCGATGTACACTAAAATTCATAGCATCAACTAGTGTCGTGAGCCATGTGCTACTAAAAAATCTAAACAAATATCACATAGAAGTGATATGGTGCGTAATTATTATTTTTGAACTGGATATGTGCGTAAACTTGGTAAAAATGGGATAAAAATCATGGAGACATGCAGCATGATTATTGCACATAATATTGCGAGCCAATCGCCAAACCTTGCTGATCTGTTTGGTTCTGGTCCTCCCTGTAAAGTTTGGTTGCTATGGGGACGTTGCAGTTGTTCACCTGTCATCCTGCTTTGTGAAGACTTCAACCCTGAGCCTTAAATTTGAAACACCCACATGATATTTGCATGAACCTATGCATAGCATCAGTGATTACTCCAAATGAGTTCTGAACCCCTCATCTGTTCACTATGTGGTACTACTTCATTTATCATTTCCTCTCTGATATTAATAGGGAAGACTACATAGGAGTTCTTTCATTTTGTTTGTAGATGGAGTTTGACAGGAGAAGCATAGAAGCCATTTTTGCACCATGTGTGTTTATTTTATCAGCATTTACTCCCTCCGTTCCAATACAAAGTTGAGTCATCTATTTTGGAACGGAGGGAGTAGATATCACTTGGAACACTTATAAAATGTTTTTGATGTTCCAATACACCACAGGAGGAAGTTTTGTTGGACTTTCTTAGAATAATTGGCCATCACAGGGCAAGGCTTGCCACCCAAACTCGAACGGTCCAGAAATCGTATGGCAACGCAGACATAGATAACATTCCTTTTGGAGAGGAGATGTACACTCGTGTACGTGGCCGTCCACTTCTGATTGACACCTCTGCAAAGGTCAGTGAAGGCAAGCCTAAATCTAGATCAACCTCACGTGAAGATCAGAGAGTCAAGACAAGCGCATCGGCTGAGACCAGGGTAGGTTCACCAGATAGTGCTAGTGTAAGCAACTCAGACAAGAAGGAACAGAAAAAGATGGTGTCAGAAGATGGTCCAACGAAGAATAGCAAGAATGATCATGGGATGTCAACACAAGCATCTCTGGCTGGTAAAGGGGAGTCTCGAGGATCCGAGGCCACAGAGCGACAAGGAGATGGGTCAGTTTCTCTTCCTAATCCTAAGAAAGAATCTAGACCTGGCCTGGAAGATAACATTGTTCTGGGTGTAGCACTTGAGGGCTCCAAGAGGACACTCCCCATCGAACAAGAAACAGATCCTCATCCATCCGAAAGCGAGCAAGGCACAGTTGAGGTTGGTTCATTGCCGAAGGATAAGAAAGGTCAAAGCCATAAGCCATGAGGGGGGTCAATCAAGTCATCTAGAGAAGGCCGGCCACACGAACTTTGATTCTTGACAGGCGATACAAGCTCAAGCAGGGTCCTTGCCAGGGATTCGTCACCATGCCTACCTTTTTTGTGTGCTGGTGCAAATGCTATCTGTCGCCCCCTTTCTTTTTCCTTTTCTTTTTCTTTTTGTAAATCTTCGCTGATGCCTCCTTGTTTGGCAAGGAACCTGTTAGTTCATAAAATGTAGCCTAGTCATTGACTGTGCTCCCTGCGTATGGATATCTTGTACGTATGGTGAAGCGTATCAAACATAAATTGAGCCGACACGCGTCGGCTGTTGCATATTATCTGTGCTGCTTCATTCTGGCTTTGCGGAACAATCTTAGGCATGTTCGAAATGGTGCTTGCACACCAGCATTGTGTTCTGAGTGCTGTAGAGTGTAGTGCAGTGCTTGGTTTTGTTTGGCATAAGTGGGTGATTGCTTGGCCGGATCATGGGGGGTGTCGATGATCGGTCATGTGCTCCATCATATCCTCGTTCCTCTGGTGAAGTTTATGCCTATGTGTCTGATTTGAGATGTAAAAATAGGGCAGGAAGGGATAAAGGATCAAGAGCAGTTATACTGAGTCTTCACGAACATGCAAGCAGATAGGGTGATGATTCATATCCTCTGGTTTCCTGTAAACTACACAGACACCAACATGCTCATTGCCTTGGAATTAATTGCGTACCTGTGTTAACACAAGCAAAGCTTCAAGTAATTTGAACAAAAGATATTTGTTATGAGTAATATACAGAAAAGAAAATATAGCCCATGTCCATGCACTCAAAGCTTGCCCCATCTTTTCGTCGCCGAAATTGGCAGCAATCGATCTCTGGTGTTTCAAAATACACCAGATGGAGTCATCCTTTTGGGTACAGGGCACAGCTACAACATTTGGCTCTGCAAAATTCCAAGCACCGACCTTCCTCTCAAATGGGAATGGGCCGGCCGAGGAGAACACTAAGAACCCGGGAGAAGGTTACTAGGCACTGGACCAAGATTTCACACTATCGCTGTCACATAACCGGTATTCTTGGGTGATCTATCTTATCTTCCAAATTCTTTCGCCTAAATCTAGCTTCATAAAATGCCTAACCAGAAACATCAACATTATTCTTCTTAACAACTGCTACGAAAGCAACAATATGCAACGCAGTAATGAAGATAGATATATGCGGATAAAACAACTAGTAGCTACTAAAGTTTCACACTGCTGCAATGCCAAATCAATTTGCACTCGGCATTTGAATTTACAGACCATCCATTCCATGAAGGGACAATTTGCCTATATGTTGGGATTTTTCTGATTCGGCATACAGGCAAATTATATAGATGACAAGATAAAAAAAAAACAAGAGACATGGACTACGACCTCTATAGTCTAGAGGATCCCACATATGCATAGCAGTGTCACTTCAGATCTAACTAAAGAGTGATAGAGTCTGCTGGTTCAAATCGATAACCTCGGCGATGAGCTCGTTCAAAACAGAGGGATAGGTCGCGATTATATGCTCCCAGCCATCGGTCGCCATTATTGTTTGCAAACATGAGGGAGACTGGACCAGGATAAACTTAATGCACGCCTCTTTCAATCCGCGGCTGACACCTATGAGCTCAGATAGCTGTTTTTCACAGATGAACTTGAGCCGTTGGAGATCATATCTGTCTGCCGCTACAAACAAGTCCTGCAGCCATTGCACGCGCGTTTCATCCTCTACTGCTTCCTCTCCTTGTCCTTGTTCCACAACTTCTTGCGTTTCATCCTCTACTGCTTCCTCTCCTTGTCCTTGTTCCGCAGCTTCTGGCATTTTGTCTTCTGCAGCTTCCTCTCCTTGTCCATGCTCCACAACGTGTGACATTTTGTCCTCCTCCATGCTATCCTCGTGCATCGCAGGGAATGAGTCTGTGTAGACAAAGCTAAGCAAGGCTCTGAATATGCTTGCTTCCATGTCTTCGATCCGTATGACACTGGATGTAGTAGCAGTACTGCCCTCCTTCATGGGGTCAAAGAGCTGTGCCCTGAAGACGTTAGATCGGGCTGCAAGCACGCATCTGTGTGCAGCGATCGTCTCGCCACCGACCTCGAACGTCACATCAGCACCCACATTGGTTTGAAAGAGATCGCCGAAATGCCGGTGTATGTCGGGCAGGAGCGCCTCGCCGCCGCCGCCCTTGGTGTCGCGGACAACCATGATGTCGCACCGGATGGTGAAGCAGTCACCCCTTAGGTTCGCCGATCGTTCGAGGGTCAAGATGGCAACGGAGACGAAACCCACCGGGTTTTGCTTGCCCAAACCCATCCCCACGAGAAAATCGTAAACCCGTCACCGTCTCCGTCAACATGCGTGGGGTTAAATTTTTGCCCGTCCCTTAAACCCATCGGGTTTTCAAAACCCACGTGGAACCCGTCCCCACAAAAAGTCAATGAAAACATCAACAGTTGGAAGAAAAACAAGAGCATATTACAGCAGCAGGCGACGGCTGGGGGACCTAGGTTTAGGTTTAGGTGTCGTGTTGTGCGGGAGAGAGAGTCCTAAAGAGTGAGCAACACAGCATCGACCGAGTGAGAGGTTGGTTTGTACTCCAGGGCCTCGATGCTGTGGGGCTCGGCTCCTCGAGCACTGTGGCTTTGGGCCACTTGAGTCAAGATGGATCGTTGCGTGCTAAATAATGTATTTTGACGGATTTTGTCGGGTTTCGGGTTCGGGTAGTACTCAAACGGGTTTAAACCCGTGAAACATGCCGGGTTTAGTAATGTATCCACGAGCAGCCCCGCGGGGATAGGAAGTCGCCCATCCCCGTTCCCTAATAGGGTAAAAACCCGCGGGGATACGAGTTTCGGGGCCCCATTGCCGTCTTGGTTCGAGGGCGTCTCTCCTAAAGAACTTGTCGCAGCTCCACGAAGAACCGGGGAAGGGGAAGCTGCACGAAGACAGAGTTTGCGGCGGCGGCGGCGGCTCGTCGTCTTTCTATGCGCGCGGACTGGGCCTGCCTAGGGCGGGCGAGCGAGCGAGCTAGGAGGGAGGGTTACCACGTGGCTGGGCTTGAAGGCCCATCGCTCAGGGTAAAAAAAATTCTAAAAAAAGGTTTTCCAGTCAAACGATTAGTGCTGCTATATGATATTCGAATTTGCTTATGGAATTTTAAATAAGATTTGGCTGCAAATTTTACCATAAAAATAAGTTTTTTTAATTTAATCAAATCATTTCCAACTCTTTAATTATAGGAACTCCCGGTTGATCATCGCCTCATTTTTCTTTGACACAGAAGATATTTTCTGTTGGTCTCGTCCCTTCTCACAACGTGGTTGGCATCCTCTCGCACATCGGCACCTCCCCCTTTCCTCTCGGGCATGCCGCCGTGATGCCCGGCCTCTTCATCCACCACCGTCGGCACCTTGTCATTTCCGTCTTGCTGAAGGATTGTGTGCACGTGCAACCGTGTTGCCGTTTGTTTTGTCTAGACTAAATAACCTTGGCAACCTCGTGCGATGGGTGTTGGGGGTACTCTAATTTTTTTTTCTCATGTCAAACAAATTGGCACCCTTGATGGGACCTGGTTCTCCTCACATCTCTGATTCGTTGTGGTTGTCGGAATCGTCTTCCCCGTCTATCAATCTGCACAACATATTGCATGACAAGGCATCGGCGAGGAGCTCGGCTAACCAAGATCCCTTCCATGCGGATGGCTCTCCCATGACAACAGCTCGAACCGCTGGTGACCCACTTGGGTAAATCAATCTTCGTATCTACATAGTTACTGAGAGACCTCAACAAATCATGAAAACTAGAAACGAAACATGGGACGCGGAGTTTGTGAACTCGAGCACACAGGCCCTCGTTATCTGAGCGGTTGGGTATAGCCTCGCGATTCGCCGCATGTAATGCGCGCGACAGGCTCGGGTTCTGCCAAAAATAGGGAAAAATGAGATATACGTACACATGCAGACCTGTGCAGTGGGCCATGTCTCGCACAGATGATGAACACCGTCGAAGAGTGGGAACACAGCCGTGGCTCGAGACGTCAATGTCGTCCTGATCCGTGGCTCAGGTTTTCTGCTTTCCCAGTAACTGCGAGAACCGACAGTAGCCGAGTAAATGCAAAGGGGTCGCTAGGAGCAGTTGTCTTCTACCTCATGAGATTGGATCCTTCCTTTGTCGGCGATCTCGGCGACCTAGGGCGTGCGAGAAGATGCCTGCGGCAACCCGCGAAGATGGAGTTTTTTTATGCAGCCCATTAAGAGGTACGAATCTGAGTCGTTGTGTATGTATTGAATTATAATTTGTGGTGGCGATTTCTAAAGATCTAAACTGTATTTCACGATTTGTGGTGTGCAGACGGCAGACCTCCCCATGGAGGCGGTTGGGCTGCTGCCCATGATGGCAGCAAGTGCGGACGGCCAGATCTGTGCCGCACAAATGGCGGCGCGGACAGGGATTGAAGATTCCGCTCAAGCATCTGAGCAATCTGTAGAGCAGATCGACCTCAAAGCTGCTAGGTGAACGCAAAGGTATGGCTTTGTGACGATTTAGATTCTGTGTGACATAGTTCGTGGTGTGTGTTTGAATGACCAAGAGTTGAAACACTTAACGGTTATTTTTGCACTATGGCTGGTGCGCTGTGGGCAAATAATTGATTTCCTGTATGGTGTTTGTGCCTGCGTGCTGCTTGAGCCAGGCTGAATTTTTAATCAGGGAGTAATTTAGAGTCTTTGCTGTATGTGATAGCTCCGCAATCTAGTTTTTTCTGGCTTTATGTTTGCATCGACTATTTTTGTCTGAACACTGTGATTTACATTTGGATGAGGAGAGTAATTTGCATTTGTTCGTTATCCGTTTCTGTCTGAACACCGTGATTTACACCCAGAGTCACAATTGGGGTTGCCGAGCCAGGCAGGGCGCCATGCCCTAATAGGATGATTTTTGCACTGGAGAAAATGGGGAAACTAAGTGAAAGTGTTCTGGCCGGTTTCTGGGATACTTATGAAACTGCCTTGCATTTGCAATTTTATCAAAAAATAGTGTTATTTGCTCGCAGAGTTAGGATTTATGCTGCCGCGGCAGGCAGGACACAGTGTCTGGTATTTTTGCACTGGAGAAAGCAATCCGTGGTTCTGCTAAAAATCTTGTAGATAATGTAATTGTGCCAAAATTGGGGACAAGTTTTGATACTTCGGATGAAGCCTATGATCTTCACAACATATACTCTTGGGAGAAATGCATGCAAGAAATGCATGCAAAAAATAGTCTGTGGCCGCGCTGTATGTAAAAAATGCTTTGGTATTGCTGAACACTGCTAGCTACTGAATTGTTCATTACTAAACTTATTTCTCATTGTGTACAAATGGGCATCAGGGGAAGGCGTTCGTGGAGAACACTAAGTCTTGTCGTTGTGAGTGCCCTGCTCTGATAAGGCTGCAGCGTTCCAATTCCATGGACAACGGTTGGTACATAGCAGATAAAAGGTGCCATACAGAGGTTTCATCAAGAAAACAAGATTTTGAATCATTTATTGGCGGCAGAGCACAAGCGGACGACATGCCCAGATTGTGGAGATGTTCCAAACCAAGCTCGGAAACCTGCGCACTGCAAGAATTGTGGGGTAGAAGGTCACGGTCGAAACAACTAGAACAAAACACCGGAGCTAAGAATGAATGAAGGCTGATTTGAAAAAAAAATAGTGTTGAAATGTGCTCATGTAGTTTGAATGTTGCGTGTTTGGAAAATCTTCAGTTATGTTGTACTATTACTTTGACTATGCCTGTAAACTGTTCAGACAAAATTGTTTCTGCATGTTTCGAATCGGAGATGTGTTGTGACATTACATTAGTTCCATATTATTGACAGGCAGTTTCCTGAATAAAACAGTGGTGGTCTTAATTTTTTGCATGCAATTGTTATCTTTCAGAGTGGAACCGATCATATACTGTTGTATATTCAGAAAGTTGTTATCATAGACGTGGAACAGATCATATACTGTGTTTTATATTCAGAAAGGGTTATATGTGTTGATTAAATCTTTGTAGATCAAATAGATGGCCACCTGCTTAGTTTCTGCTTGCTGAATGCTCCAGCAAGTTAATGAAGCTTTCAGTAACTGACAGGCTTCAGACAAGCAAAGCCATGGTAATGCTCATGTACATATGGTAGTTTCATGCGTTCAAATTTTGAACTACATGAGCACTGTGGAGACTGTATACATATTTACCAGGTGAGACTGAGATGAGTTGTCCCCTGCGTTTGTCATTGGTTCATGTAGATATAGCAATACTGTTGTGCAGCTCTTGGCAAAGAGAGGAGATGGCTCCCCCTGTCTTCTCGGACGGCGGATCAGCAATTACACGATCAGATGCATACTCCGAGCGAGATGTGCTTTTGGTGGAGGTACTTTGCATTCGTGTTGTATGTGGCTCTTTTCTATGTTTTGGGGATGTTCGTCAGTTTGGTATGAATGACATTTTCAGGTCGATGTAGCTTCGGAGGGCGTCCGTGAAGGAGAAGGATCTGAGGTGCCATAAATTTGTCTTCTGCTCTTTCTGCTGTCTCGGAGGATGCAAGCATCTATAATCTAGTTGATATTCAGGAATGAACACCTGCATGATCTTACGAATGTCTAAAGACTAACGCCTGTATTTTGCAGGGGGCTAGGTGCTGATGATACTGATCTGGACGAAACGCTGTGATGGTGGAAGGCCACGGGAGTTGCCGGCGCTGACACTCTTCAGGGATACGGCGACCACGATCCTGCCGCCGGTGGCTGCACCTGCGTCGCGGCAGAGAAGGATGAAAATGGGGACGATGTTGGTCCAGAATCCGATAGATGACGGCCCATACCGTCGTCTCCCATCCGAGCCGGTTTGGGCGTCCATAACGGGGTAACGTCGACCACTTTTCAGATGTGGGCCATGGGCCCTGGATAAAATAACAATACAGGGAGTATACCTGGGCCCATACCTGTTCGGTCGAGCATCCCGAAGCCAGCTGATGGCGTAGATAGCGAGCTAGGTGTGCTCGGGCTCATATGAGCACTTTTCCGAAACATGGCCATTGTAGTAACTTGCTACACTTGACAGTGAGTGATGAAGCTTCAATATTAGAATAATAAAACCTTTGAAGATTATCTGAACAAAAGAGTAACAATTTCTCCTCCCCTTCTTCCTGCTAACACAAATATCAATTCCTTTTGTCTCAAAGCAATTGTCTGAAAAGAGCATGATAACTTTTACATATATAAGCTCCGAGATCAACATTATCCATGTAACTAAAAACAACAATCACATGGGAGCAACTAACCTATAATCATATAAGGTATTCCCTTGACATACTTTCAGTTAAGTGGCAGATTTTTCATAGGAAGCCACGAATGGCAAAGAGCACTGCAGAGTAGAACTTCCCTGCAGAATTTACATGATAGAAACGCATTAATAAGCAAACTGGTAAAAATAGGATATAATATTACAGATTCCATTTGTATCTATCAAAAAATTGGTACGTGGTCACACGTAAGCTAACTATACATATACTTTTGGGCACCCTACCCTCTATGAACTACTCCCTCCGTTTCAAAATATAGTGCTTGCTTTATTCTCGTGCTTCAACTTTGATCATAAATTTAACCAACGAGACCGACTGCGTCGGGAGCAAAAGTTATACCAGTGAATTCGTATTCAAAAAAAGTTTTTAATTATATAATTTTTTATCCCGTCGCAATCGGTTTCGTTGGTTAAATTTATGGTCAAAGTTGGACCTCGGGAAGCGCGGACACATTATATTTTAGAATGGAGGGAGTACTACATTGACAACCATGAACGAGAAAAGAATAAATGGAGTCTGTTGGGGCCTAGACTGCATGACCCATGACCATGGTTTTGATACAGGGCAGCTACAAATGACTAAGTATCTCATGACACAACAAATATTATGAGCATCCAGGACAATTATCTTTCAAACCTAAGGTGTTCTGTTTCATTTGGCATCAAGACAAATTACATTTTAGGTTTGTCCATGCCTAATACTTATGGGTTGGGCAGATACACATACTTTCCACAAAAAAAGGATAGATACACATACTGCAACAGGGTTCATCTTCTAGAATTATGAAAAAATAATTCACAACAATACTTCTTTAATCTGTTGTTCCAGGACTCATGTGTCTGTTTCAACTTTGACATGTTACCTTACCTAGTACTCTTGAACTAAAACCACGACGAGTAAATCAGAATGGAGGGAGTACATCAATACCAGTAAACAGAGCTCAAACGCAAAGGTTATAATTATGTGGCAAGGGCTCCAATCGTGAAGGGTGTATTCTGGGATGCCCTTCCTGAACTTAATTAACCATCTGATCCACCCATTCTGCAGTCTTAAACTGCTGAACAAAAAAAATATTGGGAGGCTGATGGATAAGAGACATGAAGAGATCGATCGATGGAATGCACTTGGAAGTATAGATCAAAACTAGCCCGAACAAAACCAAAGGCATCTATCTGAATGAATGGCATCAGAACACTGCCAACACTAACATGTGATGGATTATTGATTAATCGTTAATCGATGATTATGGCGATTACTGATTAGCAACTTCATTGGACCAGTCAGTCATGTCCCAGCAGAGCAGCGACAGGGCCAGCAAAACCGACCCGACCGCACCACCTGCTCTCCAGAGTCCAGACTAGTCCTCGCCCACACCGGCGCCCGCGGCCCGTACCCCTCCCCTCCGGTCCGGCGCACCACCCCCCACGCCCACACCCGCACCCGCACCCACCCCCCAAAATCCCACTCCCTCCCGAGTCCCGACCCCCTCGCCGCGTCGAT